CACGAGCTCACACCCCTCAGATTCTTATTTTTTTACATATTTTTGATAAAATATTAAAGATGTGGACGGCAGAGAAGTGTAAAAAAAAATGAAATTAAGTGTTGTAGTTGTAAATACATATGAATTGGGGGATATGTACGTAAATGCTCCATAAATAAATCCCAATGATATATTATTTGCAGTGGTGCATCCGTTCATTTGCTCGGCCGAGAACAAAAATGCAGGGCGGATCCACTGGTATAGTCTATGGAGGTCTCAAGTATCAGGTACCAAAACCTTCTCCTGCCCCCTTTGAATCGCAATCCGAACCCTAGAAGACCTGCAATCAACCACATCCCCACACTTCGTTGTCTGAAAATTCTGGCTTATATGTCCAGGCTCGATGCATCACCGACGTGACTGCAGATACTGAAAATACCAGCTTCCTTGCTGGAACCCTTAGCCTCAAAGAAGAAAATGAGGTGTATTCTATGCTCATGTGTATTCTCTAGAGCAGATCGTTTAAGGAATGTGTTGAATTTTAGGTGCATCTCATCCGGCTTTCTTCCAATGGAACGGAGCTAGTCTGTGAGGGTTTATTCTACCACCCAAGCGAGATATGGGATCTCAAGTCTTGTCCCTTTGACTCGAGGATATTCTCCACGGTCTTCACTTCTGGTAAGCAGGCTGATTTAGCCTATTTTATTTAGCTTACTGTCAATTTAAGGTATCAATGGATAAGAGCCATGCATCGTCATGGTTGAAGTGTAGTGCTGGTTTTAGTTGATTAGAGGGTTTGGAATATTGGGTTTCCATCATAGCAGTTGATCTGTGGAGTCTTTATGGTCACTGTGAAAATTATTTCTGCTTCTTCTTTCATGAATGTAACGCTTTGTAGATTTTTGCTTTGTAGATTTGCGAAACTCATGACTCAAAACTACCTGCAACTCTTGTTGTCTGCTCTTGATCCTTGTACATTGGTTTTGTTCATCCATTGTAGTCTTCTCTGCTTTATCAGAATTGCTGCTCTCCAAAGGATTTTTAACAGAAGCAGATTGCTTAGAATTGATTTATTTGAACTAAGGACTTAGTGTTGTCTACCAGAATGATTTTCATGTTATATGAAGCTCACAGCTCTATATTGTTGCACCATGGTGTTCTTGATGTGATTTGATAACGTAAGATCAAAAGTCTGAGTGCTAGAAACTCATTATGTTGATTCATCACCTTCATTGTACCACATAAAGTACTCTGTAAGATCATCGAGCGTGGTCACATTGTCTTTAAACCATTATCTATTATAAGGAAAGGCGGGTAGAGAAAACTCTTTGCCAATCTTTGATGTCATATCACATTTCTTTCACACTGCACCCTCTCTTGCTGATTTCCATTATTTTTAAATGGAAGATTTATGTATATACCACGTAATTTCTATGTATTTACATATTTAACACCTAAACT